GTGGGTTTTAGTATAATTTTGAAGGAACATGTGGCTTGGTTCGATTCATAAAGGTGGTTCAGAAAGCAGGGCTATATGTTCTTCGCATTGGGACTTATGTTTGTGCAAAGTGGAATTTTGAGTAGTCACATTTTTGGTTATGTATTTTAAAGTTTTAATTTATATATATTTGATGAGTTTTTGAGATTCAAGTTTTTTTTTTTTTTAATGTTTGATTTTGGTTTGCTTTTGTGTTTTTAGGGGTTCTCTTGTTTGGTTGAAGTATGTTCCAGGCATCAGCTTCAGAACAGATAATGAACCTTTCAAGGTCTCTCTCTCTCTCTCTATATATATATATATCTCAAGATTTTGTAAATTAATCCATTACCTTAATAGATAATTATTGGTGTTGCAGACAGAGATGCAAAGATTCACCCAAAAAATTGTCCAAATGATGAAGGATAAGAAGTTGTTTGAGTCTTAAGGTGGTCCCTATCATCATCTCCCAGGTGTGGCTTTTTGTGTTTCTTTGCCTCTTTATATTTGCTATGTTATAGTGATTTTTCCATAATAAAGTTTATATTTTTGTCTGGGTTTGTATATGATGCAATGGAATAAAATAGATATCGTTCTAGAATGGGTGTTTCCATAATAAAGTTTACAAGCTACTCCTCAGATCCTTCACAAATCCAATTAATGGTATCATCTCTCTCTTATTTTGGTTTCTATGAATGGGTGTTTTCTATAGGTTTATTTTCTCTGGCTTATCTTTATTTGGGTTTATGAAATGGTTCTTTTAATGCCTTTGGTTCAATTCTGAGCATGATTTACTTTTGGTGCATTGTTTGGTTGCTGAGAATTTAAAGAAAAAAAGGGAAAAACAGATAGGGAAAGTATATTGAGAGCCATGAATTAGTAACCCAATTGTTAATGCAACCTATGTTATTGTTCCTAAACCATGGGTCTCCAATTAATGCCTGTGTTTGGTTATATTTGGGTGGTAGTGGGCTGCCAAAGGAAAAGTTCTTGCAACATTTCTCTCTCTCTCTCTCTCTCTTTCTTTGCTCAAATAAACTGTGCATAATTTTAGTTTGGGTATCATTTTAGTTTTTCCTTATTTTTCTTTAAAGTTAATGATTTTGGTTGTGATTTTTGAAATGGATTTGATGGGTTTTGAAATGGGTTTGAATCTTTAGTTTCTGAAATTCCTCGCTCCTCTTTCTTTGTTGATTTCATTGTTTTTACCAGTTACCAAATAGAAATTTCCAACTCCAGAGCAGGAACTGAACTACTTGACATGATTCTCACCAAGGTAATCTCTTTTTCCTTCTCTTTCTGCTCTGTTTTGTTACCCAAAAAAGGTGCAAAATAAAAACATTTGAATGTGTTTTGAATGTATTAACTATAAGACCATTACATGGTTGGTCCAATTGATTTAGGATGCTAGCATATGCTTAAATGAATTTTATTTGTGACATGGTACTAGACGTGCTGCTGTATACCGTTGGAGCAATGAGTGATTTGATTGTTTCATTAAACATCATTTTCTCGAGTGGAAGATTGGAATATGATGTTGGGAATGTTTATCCAAATCTAGATAGAGCCTGGAGCTAGTTGTTCCCTTTTAAAAACCTTCTTTTTGTGCTTCCCTCCTTGCTACCTACATAAGAATCCAGATGTGACTTCTCCTATAGCCAGTTTGGCACAGGGGAAGCTCCTTTGCCCTTTCCTCCTTGCACTCAACTGATTTGTACAGGGGGTTATAATGAGGGGTCATGGGGCCTTCCAATTTTTTGAGAGCAAAACCATGTAGAAATGAGATACCACTTTAATTTTTTGGAGGATATGATTGATTTGTAAACACTTTTATAGGCAAGTTTATTGGTAACGGTTTGTGACCCCAAAAAAAAAAATTATTGGTAATGGTTTGTGACAAAAAAAAAAAAAAAAAAAAATACACGATTGTATACCATCTCAGCAATTTTGACCTTTTGCTTATATTGTTGCTTTTGAAATAGTATAATAGCTTCAATAAAGCAGTTATATTTTCATACATAGTATTGCTTATTAGGGGATGATTTCAATGCTTTATTGTGAAATGGATTGTTAAATTGATTATTAGGGGGTGATTCAATGCTTGATTTCGGTTATTATTTTGATACAACCTTTTGTATGTCTCATGAGGAAATGTCTCTGAAGATGATAATAGCAGCTTTCTGGGCTTTGAGTTCTACTTGGCGTCTGAAAAATCTTGGCTTCTAAAAATAATACATAAGTTTATTAGTAGCATAATAACTAGACAAATTTTTAGAGATTATTTGAGATTTTTTCCTCTATTTTTTTTTTTAAATATTTTTTCTTCTATGCTGAGATATGTGTGATTTTCAACAGGAAATGATAATTGGTTGCTCTAGTGTGATTTTCTTCTCTTATAACCAGTTCAAGGATTTTTTTGGTGTTTATTACTGTTAAATATTTCATTTCGCCTCTGAACTCTTTTTTATGCTTTTACGCCAACTTTAATTCCTCTTCTTATTTTCCTGTTGTTTATCCTCTTTCGTTTTAGAGTTCAAAAGAGAAGCGTTTCTTATATGATATTGTTGCAAGTATGCCACTTATCTCTTTTCACTTCCTTTGGTTTATGCGTGTTATTTTGTGTTTATAATTTTTTTTCTTGACTTGCTTAGCAAGGATGTTTTTATTTTTAATTTTTGTGTTGATATGAAGTTTATATTTTAGATACATAAAGTTTGTTAATAAAACCAAAATGTTTATGATTGAGTTACTTGTTGTACTTTGAATAGTTGATTAGGAAATGTTTATTTTCAAAATATACAACTAAACATATTTTCAAATTTAAAAAAAAAAAAAAAAATCTTTTCAAAATTAACTTGAACTTGACTCATATTTTGACTTCAAATTTTTAGCAACAAATGGGATAAATTATATTTTAACATAGCAATTTTATATTCAATTACATTTTGATTTCATCATTATTTGCACCATGCCTTTAGGCACAGGTATATACTAGTGTTATTATAAGTTGTCACATTACTTTCTTTATTTTTTTACACATCTTTTCATAAAAATAAAAAATAAAAAACCAACATTCCAAACCATTGTAATTTCACTTAAAATGTAAAGAAATTAATTGTCATAATTGATAGTGAAAGGACTATAGTGAAATTACAAAAAATGCAAGGGGCAGAGTGTAATATTAACTTAATAGAAAACCACCCAAAAGTCAGCAATGGAGAACTTGTAGTCTAAGAAGTGTTGAAGACACACACACACATATACGCACACTTTCACATACACACAAAGAGAGAGAGAGAGAGTTATTAGTGAAGGAAATGAAGTTGAAATGGAAATATCAAAACTTTCCACATTGATACCCCAATTTTATATGAAAAAAATAAACTTACCTTTCAGGATAAAAGCAAAGAATATGAAAAGTTTCCACATACACGCACACTTTCACACACACACACACACACACACACACACACACACACACACAGATACTAGTGAAGGAAATGAAGTTGAAATGGAAATGTCAAAACTTTCCACATTGATATCCCAACTTTATATGGAAAAAATGAACCTATCTTTCAAGATAAAAGCCAAGAATATGGGGAAAAAAAATGAACCTACCTTTTAGGATAAAACCCAAAAAACTTTCCTCTCTCCCTCTCTAAAGTTGTGTAACCATCTCTACATCTCTGTCTTTTTTCCCAAGAAACAAACAAACAATGGATCAAAAAGTTCTTTTTTCTCAACAACCACCACAATCTATCCACAAAAAATCCTCAAAATTTTCTCAATCGCTTCACAAACTTCTTCGATCCATTTTTGGCCCCACACAAGCGAAAGCAGGATTGCAAGACCCATTTCATTTTGGTAAATTATTTATTTTCATTTTAAATTAGTTTTTTCATTTTTGGTAAATCAAAAATTATACAATGATTGCGATTTACTGATTTAGCATCACACATACCAAAAAAAAAAAAAACGAATCCTTCATTTTAATATGAACCTACAACAAATTGATGAAGTATGTATGGAATTTGTCAAGATTTGTAACTGTATAGTCTTTATTGTTTTGTTAAATAAGATTTGTAGCTTGAGTTAAGTAACTCCGACTTGTTTCTTGGATACTCAAAAAGCAGAAAAGAAAAATCCTCAATTTGAATGAACAAATATAGACATTTATTTCCTTTTGAAATAGTTTCATCTTTATGTTCAGCAATTTTTTTCTCTAAACAATGGATCTTAAAGTAGATGTTTGGTATTAAAACATAAATTTCCTGCTCATTGCAGAGATTGAGGACAAAGTTTAGAAGACCTTGAACCTTATCAAAGAAGAAGATGGAGATGAAAAAGATGGGAATAAAGATTATTCTTTTTCTTTTTCTTCCTCCAGCTTGGACTCGGCATCGGTGTTTCAGATTGAGAAAGGTAAACAAGAATCTTCAGAAAACTCGACTCAAGTAGAGAATAAGAATTCCGAGCTAGCAAACAAGGTTGTGGATCAGCAAAGAATGCTAAAAGAACAGGAGGATGCTTTCAATGAATTGAGAGAAGAGCACAAACAAGTTGAAGTTTTGTTTTAAGAATGCAAGGCAAACCTTGAAGTTGCTGAAAGGAAGATTAAAGAAATGGAAGAAGAGGAATTGCAAAAGAGTATTGAATCCAAAGATAGGAAAGCTGATGAATTGGAAGAAACAATCGAAGACATGAAAAGAGATCTGGAGATGAAGTCAGCTTGCTGATCGAGAATCTCAGCACAATTGAGGAAGACTACGAGCACTTTGAGAGTCGTGTTTATGAAATCTTGAACGAGTTTCAAGTTGCAAAGAACAGGGTCAATGAGACAAATATCGAGAAACAACAACTAAAGGATGAGCTCAGCGTCCTGATCGAGCAACTGCGAGATAGGAAAGAAAAGGGATTGGTCTTGAGAGAAAGGGTCAGAGAATTGGAAGAAACAATTGAAGACTTAATTGAAAAGAGATCTGGAAATGAAAGGAGATGAAGCGAGCTTGCTAATCGAGAATCTCAGTACGATTGAGGAAGACTACCGTGTTTGTGAAATCCTGATCAAGGAACAACCAAGGGTCCAAGAAGAAGAAGAAACGAAGAGCTACGAAGATGATGATGATGATGATGATTTTGAGTTCTTTTGTGTGTGTAAAGACCCCACCTCTACTGATGAGATCTCCTACAACAGCCAGATCAGGCTTGTTTTTCCTATTTTCGGCAGAGATTTGTTGTTTTCTGATGTTGAAAATTGTAAAGGTGAAGTGAATTCTTCTAAGCCTCCCACTCCGTCACCGATTCGGATTCCCGAGGACCGCAATCCTTCGTCCTGCTCCTCCTCCGAAGCTGACGAGCTCGACGGAGTTCTGGCAGGAACCTACTGTGTCTGGAAGTCGAAATCTGATGCGTCTGCGGTGGTGGTGTCGCCGGAGAGATGTAAGAAGAGCAGCTTGATGGGATCATCAAAGCGATGGAAGTTTCATGATCTTCTCTACCGGAGCAGCAACGACGGCAAGGACACCTGCATCTTTCTCGCTCCTTCGAATGCCAATTCGAAGAAAAAGAACAACAAGAAGGCCTCCGAGAGAGCAACAGAAGTAAAAGTCGCTGGAAAAGTGAAGCCGACGGTGGCCGGAGGAGGAGTAATGGTGGCATAGGAGGGAGATCAGAGGCGGTTGTTGATGCCATACAGGCAAGATTTGCTAGGGTTCTTTGCTAACGTGAACAGGTTGAGCAAAAATCTCAAGGAAATTGGAAATGCTCTCAAAGGTATTATCTGGTAGAAAGACAATCAATAGCAACTTGAGTGTTCTAAATTTTTATTCTTTTATTTTTGCATTTATGTCTATTATTATGGTTTTTTTCTTTAGTTGATTGTGATATTTGATTGGTTTATTTTGACAATATCATTTGTTGGTAGAACTTTTACCAGTTTAGATTTTGTATAGGGAATTAGTGCTGCTTTTATGTATTTTTTTTGTCGTCAATTATATCTAAAAGTTTAGACTACATTCATCGCCGTTCTTAAAACTTTTCAAAATTTCCTAAATCATTCATGTCCCTTTCCCTCTCTCTCAGCTTTATAGTTGACAATTTCAGTTTAGTGGGGTTTGCAGTTTATTTTTTTGACTTTTTTATTCCTTTTTTTTTTTGTCTTAATGAACCTTTTTTTTTTAATTACCCAAAAAACTTTTAAAAAAATAAAATAAATTTCTAGATTCTACTCGATTAACTAAATTTTTTTTTAAAAAAAAAATATCCAAAAAAGAGAGATAAAAAAAATTCCTTATTTTGATTTTTTTTAAAAAAAAATTACCTTTAGATTCATCTAGACAAGGTAGACTAGAAAAATAAAAAATTGACATAATTTTAAATAAAAAAATCACCAAAAAAAATGAAATAAAATATAGTTTATTTAAAATTTCCCGAACAATTAAAACTTAACGAGCTTAAAAAATATATTAAAAGTTTGGTTTGTTTATCATTCAAATCAATTTCAAATGAGTTTTAATCCAAAAAAAATCACAAATTAAGCTAAAATAGTTTTATTTTTTTTAAAAAAAAGTTCTATAATACATATAAATTATATCCTCCAATCATGATTGAAGTTTTACGCATTGATTTAAGTAAATATTTCAATAAAAATTCTAATGGTAAACTTTTATTCTGTTTGGAAATTGATTGTTGTGCTATTACGTAATTTATTGGGCTTTCTGAACTATTTTAAGTATTTTTTTTTACTTTTAAAATTTATTTAATTTAAATACACCTAAAAAGTAAAAAAAAAAATATATATGAACATAATTTTAAAAAATCACTAAAATGTTTTTTCACACTCTTATGCACCATTTATTTTAGTAGAAAATATTTTATGTGCAATTTTTTTTCTATAAAATGTTTTCCTATATTTTGTTTTGTCTTTGAAGCTATTATATTAATGATTGTAGTGGTGGTGGCAATGGTAGTATGATAGCAATGATAAGACTTTAATTCGAAAAACGTTTTTCACCCTTTGATAGTAGAAAATATTTTCATTTTTCGTTGACTATGGAAAACATTTTTCGTTGATTTTTTATTTTTATTATACCAACACTAACAAATGCTAAAAACATTAGTCAAAAATATTTTTGTTGACGCTAACCTTCAATATTTCCTACAGACTCAACCCATTGAAAAAAAAAAAAATATATATATATATATATCTTGCTAGATCTTAATTATGAAATTTTTGTTCACTTCAGAAGTTCAACATACTGGCAAAGACTAGCATGAAAGATAAAGTTTATTGCACTAATATAATAATAATCATCAGACAATAAATAAATTTGATCAGCCTCCAATCTTAAAATTGGTTGATTTGGCAACACAAAGAAAGCAAATATTATGCTAGAAAAAAACATTTTTTGTTTGTATCAAATTTTTTTTTAAAATTTTTTGAATTAATTCCACTTTTTTTAAAACAAAAGCAATATACGAAATATATTTTTTTTTCTAGTTCCCCAAAAAAGAAAAAGGAAAACAGAAATGGGAAACAGAAGCATTACCAAATGATGCCATAGAGAATCTAGGGTAAAAAGTTTTGGATTATGGCATAAAAAGAATTCAAACATTTTATCCACTTATACACTTGGCATGAATAGACACACATCCATGAAATCGCTAATAGAAAAAGATAACAAAGTAACTTAAATTTCATGAGTTGAAGATGTTTTAACCAAAGAAAAACTTACCATAAGCATTCCCAATAAGTGATTTGTTAGAGAAGTTCTCACTTTGGAGAACGCGAAATCAGAGTCCTCAATGGAAGGGTAAGGAACCTAAAAGAAGTAACGACCAATATAATCACCCAAGCCATGACCAGTTGAGGACTGCTAATGAGGCTATTGATAGGCCCTAACCATGTGACTTTCTGTTATTTCTATTATTTAGTGTTGAATTTACAAGATTATGGGTTTTTATCTCAAGTCTTACAGGAGTCGCATCAAACTTTTATGATTTGAAGTTGCTGATGAACTTTTGATTATTCAATTATTCATGTTTTAAAGCATAACAAGGGCAGGACAAAAAATTTATGAAGTGCCGCTTATTTAGCAGTGGAGTATCAAACTCAAGACAATATCTTACTCCAATTTACTGGTAATAAGTATTGGGGCAAATCATACTAGTGGTCCTTGTAATTTGTCTCGTGTTAATTTTGTCCCTGTAATTCTAACTATATTTATTTTGCCCTTTAATTTAGTCCAATTGATAACATCTGTTAAAAATTAAACAAAATTCAAGGGCAAGTTTGTCCATTCCAAAAGGAAAAGAACCATTTCAAATTGGACATCAACCTCTCAGTCTATAGGTGTCAATTGGACTAAAATGATACAATGTGAAAAATTCAAGGGTAAAATTGATTCAATTGGAACTACAAGGTCTAAATTGACACAAAAAGAAAACTACAATGATTGTAAGTGTAATTTGTCCTAAATATTGGCAAGTTGGCATGAAGAATCACTGCTTAGTTCATGATCAACTGGTATGTGCGTTAAGTGCAAAACTAAGGGTTACCCGATTAAGGGAATATGCAAACTGATCTACAAACAAAAATGAAGTTGAAATGGAAATGTCAAAACTTTCCACATTGATACCACAACTTTATATGGAAAAAATGAACCGACCTTTCAGGATAAAAGCCAAGAACATGGAAAAAATGAACCTACCTTTCACGACAAAAGCCACTCCCTCTCTAAAGTTGTCTAACAATCTTTACATCTCTGTCTTTTTTCCCAAGAATTACAATGGATCAGAAAGTTTTTTTTTTCTCAACAACCACCACAATCCAAAAAATCCTCACAATTTTCTCGGTTTCTTCGATCCATTTTCGGCAGCTGCGGCGTGATTTCGCCGGAGTTTAAGACGGTAGGGAAGACATATTAATAGATTGACACCATTCACGAGTAGAATTAAGGGTCAACATTCGTGTTAATAAACTATTCAAGAGTAAAATTAAGGCCCAATATTCGTGTCAATAGACTGGAAATAACCCTCATGAAATAATTTTCAAGTACGTCGTGACCTAAATCCAAAAACAATATCTAAAGAAATTCAGCTTCTTAAACAATTTTCTTAAATCTTGATCATGTGTGTTTCAATACATACAAAGCAATTCACAGTAATGACAAGAAATCAAGAAAGAATGTCAACACATATATGGTGTGTTTACATTCATATAGACAGAGGGAGGGAATTCAAAAATTAAAACACATAAATCAAAATTGCCATATTAAAATCTCACAGTAAAATTATCTATTAAACTAACACACTTCAGTGAAGAAGAAGAAGAAGAAGAAGAAGAAGAAGAAGAAGAAGAAGAAAGAATACAGCAAAAAATACATCAACCTAGCTTTGGTGACAGCTTCCTAATCAAGTCAAACAATTTTCTTTCCCTTTTTCTTTTGGTTCTTTTCTAATCAATCACTGAACATGCCAAAAATGAAATTGTTCACATTTGCTCATGTAGTGTCCAAGAGCACAAAAAATGTAAGAAGGCGAGAAATATGACTACAAACAAATTCTTAGACTTGTGGGAGGTTTTTGGAATTAAAGCTAAAAGTATAAATTCCTAACATAAAGATGATACAACCTGACTTAAAAACGGAAGAAGAGCATAGGGATGGAGAAGGCTGAAAACATAACAGAGGGTGATGCCACTTGTGCTGAGATTGTTTGGGAAATGAAGTTAAAATGGAAATGTCAAAACTTTTCACATTGATACCCCTAACTTAGAGAGAGAGAGAGAGAGAGAGTTACTAGTGAAGGAAATGAAGTTAAAATGGAAATGTACTGGTGAAGGAAATGAAAGTTGAAATGGAAATGTCAAGAAAATTTAGATTGTATTACCTCAGACTAGAAAATTACACTTCATATCCACCTTTTCTCTAGCACTTGATTTTACTACCTCAGACTAGGAAAACCCATATCAGCATTCAAACATAAATTGCAATTTCTGATCACAAAGCCCATGTACTAATTCCACATAATGTTCAAATCAAACAAATCAATAACTCTCCAAATCACCAAATCTCTCACATTTCATGAAATTATCCACAAAAAAAAAAAAAAAAACAAACAAACAAACAAACAAAACAAAAGCAAAAAAAAAATTGCCCTTCTATTTACACTCAATTTAGATTCATATAAGCATAAGTACAAACAAAGAAAGTGGGATTTGAAAGGGCAATACCAAAGCTGTAAAGATTAGGGTCTATGAATTGTTTGCATTTCTATGGAGAGTTACTAGTGCAGGAAATGCAATTGAAATGGAAATGTCAAAACTTTCCACATTGATACCCCAACTTTCTATGGAAAAAATGAACCAACCTTTCAGGATAAAAGCCAAGAATATGGAAAAAATGAACCTAACTTTCACGATAAAAGCCACTCCCTCTCTAAAGTTGTGTAACAATCTCTACATCTGTGTCTTTTTTCCCAAGAATTACAATTGATCAGAAAGTTCTTTTTTCTCAACAACCACCACAATTCAAAAAATCCTCAAAATTTTCTCGGTTTCTTGATCCATTTTCGGCAGATGCGGCGAGATTTCAGCGTAGTTTAAGTTGGTGGAGAAGACGGATTGATCGATTGACCTCATTCACGAGTAGAATTAAGGGTC